TCGACAAACCGCCCCGAACCCGCCACACCACGGCCCCCAGCTGGGCTGCTGCCTCCACCGCCATCCCACCGGTACCTGTTTGGCTTCCTCGATCCTGCTCCGTCCAGCTCACAGCCTAACCCCAAACAGCTTCCCTCCACCCGCACCCCATACACCCCCCTTTTTTAATCCCCTCCCTCCCACCTTGGCTGCCCGCAGTCGCCTGCCTCCAACATTCCAAACTGCCCCCAGCTCTGCTGGGACGTGCTTTACTCCTCCCCAGCCCTCGAGGCAAGCAATCGCACCCCTGCCTTCCTAAATCAGAAAGGACAGAAACCACAAAATTACCATCTTTGTACAACCGCTTGTTCCTCTGCCCGGCAATGGCAGGAGACATCAAGGTGGAAAGAAGGAGCTGCGCTGGGAGTCACCGTGATTTGAACTCCACGCAGCCCAAGAGGGGCGTACGGGAAATCTCTCTGCCCCACATAGTGACGCTGCTGTTACGCTTTGCCTACCTCAGCCGCCTGATGAGTCTCCAAAGGCACATCTTTTAGATAACACGGGAACATTTATTACATGGCTGTGGGTTTAATGAACCCAGAGTGGTACATTCTAAAAGCCCCCAAAGCCTTACACTAGCAACAGCAGCATCGGCACCAGTTTTCGCTGTATCGTCACACTCGAGGCAGAAAGTGCGGCCCCAGGACAATGTGGCTGCTGTCACCAGCTGAATTAAGGGTAAAACAAATCACAGTATTATCCCAGACCAACCTGAAGCTGGGACTATAAAGAAAACCTTTGTGTGATTGCTTACATACAGTAAAACACGCACTACAGTTGCAGTAGAAAATAACAAGGCAGCATTCAGGAAAGCTCTTTGGTTGATGAGGGCATTACAGCCACCCTGCATCTTCTCAGGATGTTCTTTTGAAGCACCTTCAAGGAGTAATTTTGTCTTCACCCAATCCCCTTTTAAGAGAAACTTTCTGTCCTTTTCTTTCCACATCCTCCTTTCATAAATCAAATATATCTTTTCCTTCTGATACCTTCTCTCACTCACACCATTTGCCTTTTGGAATAATTGTGCTTCCTCAAACTTTGTTCCCAGCAATGTACTAAGACTGCTTCATCTCCCTCTGGCCTTCCTCTAGGAGCAGTATGCAGATCGCAGCCCCAGCAGCCTCAGGATCTGACCCTGCACGATCTTCACCGCAGGCAATGGTAAGGTCTCCTCAGGTGTTGAAGGCAGCGCAACTTCAGGGCCTGACTTTGGACTTCGTTACACAGATCAAACTGCGCATTAACTCCACTGGGCGATTTTAGAAGGATCCTACCTGCATTTTGGTTGAAGTCCCAAGCAAGTGCAATGTTTCCACTCATCGGGTGGGTGAGATGAGCTGGAACACATTCTCCCTAGGACTCTCTAGGCTTCTGGTAATAAATCAGGATCAGCTGCACTCACTGCATTTGGACAGAATAAGCAAAACTGATGCAACTGAAATTCCTGTAGGTAATAGAGCAAACCAGTTATCTCAGGCAAACCTCTCCCACATTGCACGCCTGTTGGTCTTGGGCCACAGCCCTTGCTCTATACTAAGAAGGACTGTGTTATTTCCATGCTATTTTAGGTGGAGATCTCTTTAAGGAAAGCCTCTGTCCCAAGCCCACAGTCTTATTCTACTCCTCACAAGAGAAATTCTCCTCTGGCATATCAGACTATAAATTCTAAAGCAAGTTCTAATTCCTGATAATTCCCATCATCATCCACCTCTCATAGAATAATGCTTCAAAGATATAGGTATGTCAGTCTCATTCATAAATACTGATGTTTCTTCCTTCCACTTCAGTGACAGGGCCCTGGGCCAGGTCTCAGCTTGTTCCTGAGGTTCAGGACAAAAGCCAGTAAAGAAAAAAAAAAACTACACACCACACCCACAACCTACTGCTACCCATGTGAGAAGCAATATTTCTGTACTGTCTGTGAAACAAGTGCCAAATGAAGCAGGTAAGGGATTACAGCAGAAAGAACATTTCCCTCTGTCAGTCTGTCTCCTCAATTCCAAAGCAGCAATGCTGGAGCTAAGGTTTAACAAATGGTTGAGCTAATCCCTGCTGTCCACAGGTGACTGTTCACCTGCTCCATCACCAGCCCTTGTCTGACACCTTGTTGAGCTATTTCAGCTCACTAAAGCAGCAGGAAAGTATTCACCTTTTTAGGAGAGCATAACTGGGAAGCAGCAGTTTGGTGCAATCAATCTTGAGCACAGTTTCCTCTCATACCTATGCTGGTGTTACAGTTAGCACCTACTGAAAAGAGCAGCCCCACTTCACCTCCCTTCCAGGTGTGCCTTCCTGTCTCCTTCTTTCTACAGCATTCCTGAAGGTGAGCTTTCTGCAAGTTAGCTTTCTGCTCTGGGTGACTGCTGGACAAGGCAAGAGCCAGTGCTGGCATCGGGGAAGTGGAAGGAACTCCCAGCCTGGAAGAAGAAGGAGGACAAGATCAGGATGGCTCCCCTTTTGCTCAGACTGCCATTAGCTCAGCCTCAGCTGCAAAATTAAGCCACACTCTGACCCCAGCAGCACTTGAGAACCAGTACATTAGCCCTTTTTCTTCAAGGGAAATACTGAAATTTGTGAGGTAAACTCAGTTCCGCAGGGCTCAAGACAATCCTGTCTTTGACAGAGTTGCACATGACAACTGACTGAACTGTTTTAACCACAGGCTTCGGCAGATGCATTTCATGCTCTCTCCCTCTACCCTTAAGGTATTCAGCCTTCACATTCTACCCAGCTCTACTTTTAGGGAAGAAACAGGGCATTACCTCTTCGGCCTATAACCCCTGCTCCCTTGTGCCTCTCTCCAGTTTCTTTTTGCCCTCAAGTTTGTGATCAAAAAAGAACCCCCTACTTAGCTGGGTGTTTTTTGGAGAGAGGGCTATTACTTCTCCCTTTCCGAACCACAACATACAGTCACTCTTTTCCTTGAATTGAGTAACATTGAGCAAGGCAGTGGCCAGGCCCCCACACAGAGCAAGCTTGGGTCCAGGCCTGTCAGCAGGGTAAGATCTGTGCTAGTTAATTCTTGCTTAGGACAAGACTTACTAACGAAAAACTACAACAAATGACGCTTTTTGTGCTACCTTCAAGCTACAGTCTAAGCTCTGTTAATGCCATGATTTGCCTGTGCTGTTGGTAGTGGAAATGCTTGTTGCTGTGACTTTGCAGTCATGTCACATGGTAAACAGTAACTCTTGCAAGTAGAGCACATGGAAATATTTGAGCCTAAGAAGGATCTTCTGTATTCTGTCTGACCTCCCCCCTTGCTACTTGGCTTGAATACTTGCAGTATAAGTTATTACTCCCTGTACTACTCAACACAAACATACTTATATTGCAAGCCACCCCCCATGCTGGAGGGCAAAAAATTACCCACTACACTTTTAAAGAAACACTTCCACTCTGAAGGAAGAAAGACCTATGTGGTGCATAGACAAGAAAAAAAAGAGACCAGCCTGCAAAAACTGTTCCCTTGGGCTCAAAAGGGTGAGAAGTGATTTATGTGCCCAAAACAAACCACTTAAGCCAATAAAATTTACAAAACCCAAAATAGTTTTATTTACTTTTTCGTATTTCTGCCTCAATGAGACATTTTGCAAACATGCTAAGGCTACAAAATGTCCAAGTTGACAAAGACATGCAACGCTGACCATTCAATAAGTCACGGCTATTATAGGAGCGACCGTGCCCACCCGGGCCACAGGTCCCGTAAAACAGGGATGGTGTACAGTGATCATGGCAACGTACCACGCAGGACCTAGTAACCTGAGGTAGGTCTCTACAGTAAGAAAACAATGTCCTACACCAGTGTTACATCCTGATCAACAGGAACCTGTTTAAAGTTCCAGAAGATGTGGGGTGGGGGACTGTTTCCTTAACAAGTGTGCAATAAAGAAACAGGAAATACTGATGTTGTTTAACCTTAGTATAAGTGAGCAGAACAAAGAGTTAGTGTGTTACCCATGCCAGTGAAAGCCAACCTAAACCTCTGAGGAGTGTTAGCAGCTTCAAGATAAAGTCGTCAGTCGGCTGAAGCAACTCTGAAAAGGCTTTCCTACTAGCATACACGGTATGATTTGAACCTTACGATTAGTTTGTTACAGATCATTCCACGAACAGTTAGATTTTGGTTGTGTTAGATCAGCGAAGCAGGAAGAGCTTGGGCTTGCTTGCATTAAAATAAAACCTGCTGATACAGTAAGAAATACTGTATCAGGACACTGAGAAAATACAAGGCCTTAATGTGACCCAGAAGTGGTTCTCCGCTCGGGAGATCACTAAAACCCCTGCTTTGGGAAAGCATCAACGGGAAGCAGCAGCCGCTGCCGTGGTGAACATTAGCGATGCTCCAAATAGCTTTGATAAATTACAATGCAATAGTTACACCACAGAGCTCTTCTCCCCTGCGCTAGACAACAAAGATGTGACAATAAAGGACGCTATTGCAAAGCTTCACTTCCACTCAGACACGCAGAAAATCCGGCACTAGGAAAAGACCAACTGTAAAAGACAAAATGGCGTCTGATACAGTCCGATAACAAAGCCAGATCTCTGCTACCGTAAACTGTACAAAAATGATAGAAAAGAATATGCACTGTTATTAATACAGTGCTTATTTTAATATAAAATAAACAGCTTACATTTCCACTGTAAATATAGGCTATATACAGAATTATGTATAGATATAGCTACATGTATAAAGCTTCATTATAGGCCTCTGATACAGTTATAACTATGGCTCCCTGAGCCATTTGTAGAGTGCATTTAATAACAAAAAATTAGTAATATGATTATGGAATAAATACAATAATAAAAACATGAAGAATGCTTCTGACACAGTTTAAAAAACTCTCTAGCTTGACACATTGTGCTAAAAATTAAAAGATGAAAAGGCAATAATCTGCTTGAAGGAGGAGAAGGAAGAGCTGGCCTGCCACAGGCAGAGAGTGTAGCTCTCCAAAATTAAAGTGACTTTGCCCTGAATTTTAGCCCTTGACAGCAACCTTGTTCTCTGCAGCAGCAAACATAGCATAGAAGCGCGAGTTCTCGTTGGCCAGAAGGGCAGACGGCGTGTCGAATTCCACTACCTAAAAGCAAACAAGGCAGGTAAAGTATGTCAGTAAAATCCAGCAGAAAATGGATTCCCACCCCTTGGACTTGGGACACAGTAGTAAAGAAGCCAAAACATGGCATTTGCCCGTAGAGGAGACAACGGGCAGTACAAGTATGCACGTTTATGCATACATACTGTAACCTGGGATGCTTCAAACTAGCTCAGACAAACACTGGAACTACCCAGTAGGAAGCAATCTCTGGTGGCTCTGACAAACAGGGTCAGATGCTATGGGTTTTTGCCTTCTCTACCTTTAAGAGCCTTGCCGAATGTTCTTACATTTGATTTAACTGTTTATGGCTCCCACATGGAAGCCTGAGAAGTGGGTAAAGTATCTCTCCTATGCCTGTTTGATAGCACAGGGCATTATGAAAGTAATGGGAAACTGCTACTGAGCCCCAGCACAGATGCTTACTTTATTACCCATCTCAGAATTAACCTACAAAGGGAGTTCTAGAAACACTTTTAAAAGAGAGCCTGTTACACTATGGTACTTTCTTGGAGTGCAAAAGAAATCTCGCCCTCTTTGATCTTGTCACGGTCAGGCAATAACTGATCTATTGGAGTATTATTACCAAGGATGTGAATTAACACAGGTAGAGGATTTTCTACCCTACAATGCTAGCTGTTCCTTCTGTTCAGCCTGCACATATGGCACCACCAGGCTGCAACAGAAATTGTAGCCACAAGAGTCTTTCTGCTTACCTGTCCTTGTGTTAGCACCATGATCCGATCAGAGCCCAGCACCGTATGCAGGCGATGAGCAATTGTTAACATAGTGCAGTCTGCAAATGCCTCTCTGATAGTCTCCTGAATCAGTAAGTCTGTCTCTGTGTCCATAGCAGCTGTGGCTTCATCCAGTATCAAAATCTGAAAGCAGCACATAATCCTGCCCGTTAGCCATAGTAATGCTTTCCCTCCCTGAACACAAAAATATGTGGAGTGGGCAGAATTACCGTGACCAAGAGCTGTCACAACTGGCAATCCTTACAGAGCTGTGGTCACAAAGGTAGTTCTTACAAGCACCCTTTTAGTTTTCTTTATGCAATTGCCTTCAAAGTTACCCTCTGGATCACACTTACATTTAATGGTCACATCCTAGAGCCACAAGATATTTGGGTTCTGACCTGCGCCTCAAGTTTCCACTACTTTCAGTTTTACATTCAGCAGCTAAACCTCAAATACAAGTTTTACTGGTAAACTAATCTGATGCATCCTTGGCGGTGACATTCCTTCTGGAATGAGTCAATACCAACCAGGCTTATTAGCTTTCTTATGATGGAAAGAACTACTCTTCCTCTCAGATTCAGACATAAGCTGATTTGGAGTGGTGTCTTGTCAAAGCTAAACTAGATTTGTTTTGTGCAGGTATATTTTAGTGGAGCACCATGTAGAAGGAAAGTACTTGGCCGACATTCACAAAAAGGTGGAAGCAACAAAGAATCTGATGCATACCAGTAACAGGACACTGAAATGATTAGGCCAGCCCGACTTCCTATTATTAACTCTAACAAGCAATACGCTTCTGACGGCAGGGCATTACAGGAGCTAGCAGCTGGCTACAGATACCTTCCTAGTTCTAACTCTACGCCTTTCTGGGCCACAATAACTGTTGCTGTGATTCCTCTGACAGAATGAATCTGGCACAGAAAAAGGCTTGCTCAATCCTAACAGTTTGATATCTCCAGCTATTCCTCTCATCACTATGCCCACCTTGCAACGACGCAGTAGAGCTCTAGCTATGCACAGTAACTGTCTTTCTCCAACTGAAAAGTTTTCCCCATTTTCCATCACTTCTGAATCAAGTTTCATAGGCAGCTGGGCAACCTGTGTGGGAAAGAAGAGGCAAAAATCTTAAAGCATTGCACAGAATTTTTGTACCTTCGTGGCATGAGACAAACAGTTGCTCTTCCTGAAAATCTGATTTTGACCTGCTCAGTCTAGTTGAAATGCTTGACATTCAGTGATAGCCCCCGAGAACATCACTAGGACTAAGTTAAAAGAGCTATATCATCTTAGTAGGCAAACTTGGAATGACCTCAGTACTAAGTATTTTATTTCTAGAAAAAAGCATGCCATGTACAAAAATTATTCTCAACATGAATACAGATCTCCTGACAATCTTTCTCACAAAGA